TTCAAAAAAAAATTTAATCACGGGTTGGTGGGCCAGCCCGGCTCACCACGGGTTCAACCCGGCTCACCCGGGTTGAACCGGGTTGAACCCGTGGTGAGCCGGGTTCAAATTTGACCCGTATTGAAATTTTCAAATTTTTTTTAACCCAACCCGACTCGAACCCGTGGTGAGCCGGGTTGGCTCGCCGGGCCAAGCCCATTTTGACAGCTCTACTCATGTCCATCATAGATAATGCAGATCATAGGGTTCAACTTTCAACCAAGAGGAATGGAGTGGAGTGTTTGAGTTTTATACAACAAAAGGTGGCACTTAATCTTATAGGAAAAAATTTACGTGTATAATATTAATTGTATGGAAGTGAGTGTTTGACAGTACGTTACAGCAATGAGAAAAAATGAGCTTTCAAAAGCAAACTAGTTTACAGCTTGCTGTTATTTGTTAATTTCTTTAATTTGTTTTTAGGGTTTAGAGTTTAGGATTTAAGATTAATTTCTTTAATTATGTGTATGAATTTTATAAATTTTAACAATTAAGTTTTAATCTTTTTTATTGTTAGATATAAACAAAGTCTCATATTATTGGATTATGAGAAAAAATAAAAATTTGTAAAATACATAATTTTCATTGGTATAAAGTCTTTTAAAAAATAATCAAAAATAAAATTATAAGATTTTAAGTTTAAAGTAGACAATATCATACATAAATGTGAATCTTAAGCGTCCAAAAATGGCATTAGAGTCAATGATCAATCAAATAACCAACTTAAAAGTCTCGAATGAGTATTTAACATTGGGATACAATGTATATGAGGTGAAATCTCTTATGTCAAAAGTCGACTATGTGACTAGCTTAGAATCTCGGATAAGTATTTAACAATGGGAGACAACGGATTCAAATGTGATTCTTTGTGTCAAAAATCTTTCGGACAATGTGGAAGTCATTGAATTTTCTTAGATGAAATTAAAAATTTTATTGATGAGAGATTAAAATATGATCCTTTGTTTGAAATATAAATAAAATATCTCATATTATTAAATCATAAAAAGACCCAAAAAAAAAATTTATAAAACACACATAATCTTAATTAATATGATACCTTTTGAAAAATAATCAAAAAACAAATCATAAGAATTTAAATCCAAAACAAATAATATCATATACTATTATGAAAACTTGTGAATATCAGTTTCCACAATACTCATTACATTTTATGAACTTATATGTGTATTCGTAACTATTCTTAAGTATACTACAAATCTACAAGCAAATTCTTCTAATAAAGTCGATTATCAACTCTCTTGATAACTTACAGTGATTGCCCTTGGTAAATTATTATATGCACTTGATTAATTTTTATATCGTCAAATATTGTCTTTATTAATTAAATAGATGTGATATGATGTTTTAAATGTATTTTAATGAACTTTGATGACATCACATAAAACAAACATTATATTAGCTCCTAATAATCCGTATTATACTTAGGGGGTGTATTGGTTTAGGATTTCGTAGGATTTTTGTTTTGTCTTCATTCTTTGATTAGTTTGTTTTTGTTTTCTTTCGAGAGTTGTTCTGAAGTGAATTCTTTTGTTCTCACGTATGCATTCGAGTCCAAATTCATACAGACGAATAGGAGGATTAGTTATTTTATAAAATGATTTTTGTATATTTTTTTAATGTATATACACACTTGAAATGTTCAGTTTTGGATGTTGCGGCTTTATAACTGTTGGATTCTGTATGTTATATGGTTAGCACATTCTGTATATTACAATTCTTCCTTTGAACCTAGAGAAACTCTGCCCAGACCATCCGTGAAACGGTGAAACCATACATAGAGCTAAGCTAGACTTTCCTGTTTAAGGTAGGTCCGTTTGTAGACTCCAGCAAGATCAGTATATTACAAGGGAAGTGTTTTACTCAATCTTATACGAAAAATTCTATGTAATTTCCTCTTGAAAAAAAAATATTATAGAATGCATGGTGGCCTTCTGTATTAGTTACTAGATTGTAATGGATTATATTGTGTTGTAAAATATTGCTGGGAACACACATGAATTTTCTTTCCAAAGGAAACTATATTAACTGCTGTAAAATAAATTTACAACCGTAGGAATATTCTAAAAAAAAAAACTTTCGTTACTATACTGTTTGGTTGCCAGATTAATCTATAATCTTTAGTTTACTTGTGAAACCTTTTGTGTACAAATAACCCCAACAACAGAAAGGGCGAGGACTGGATGAAGTATCTTCCAAGACTAATAGATTACTTGCCCGGAATTTCAAGTATGATTATGGTGCACAGAATTAGAAAGTCTAAATTATATCAATGGGCTAATTAAAAGGAAGCGAGCAATACACTAATTCACCAACTTGTCAAGTTGTACTAAGCTACGTAATTCCAATTCGCTATTACCTTGAATATCTTAAAAAAGATCTTCACCTCAACTTCACGACAAACACTGAATTCAACTAACAATTCAGCAGTCACGGTGCCAATCTTTGATTGCGATGCGATATCAATAGGACGTAAAAACAGTGAACTAGACTCGCACACAAACGAAGGAAGAGGAGATGTATTCAAGTATTCAACACACTATATTTCATTCAACTCAATCAGTCCATCACACGATACAGTGGATGGCCTTTTATAGGCAAATATCCTACAATAAAATAGTATTATACTTGATGTCTTAGAAAAATTCATTTGTGAAGAAAGTAGAAGATGAAGTGTCCAAATTGACTACTACTCAATGTGTGGCTTCAACCAATCAGTACATATTGCTGCAGTGCTGCCTTCACA